CGCATGCACTCACCAGCTGAGTATATTTAATATTTTCTAAAGAAAAAAAGCCACATATAAATATTTGCCTTTTGGTCAAACATTATCAGCAGTTTTTATTTTTTGATTAGTTGTACTTTTCTTTTTTTGCATTTCTGATTAAACCTGTTTTCCAGACCTTATAACTGAGAATTAAACTCAGGTGGGGAGGAGGACAGCTGTAATCTCTGTCTTCTCAGTTCATCTCAGACCCCTGGTGGCAACTCTTAAACACTTAAGAGTCCTCTGGAGCAGTCTGAACTGTTTGGGAGAGTAAGAGTGATTCTTAGACTTAAGAATTTTGATAACTGGCACTTACACTTAAGWCTGAGAGTAGGAGCAAATCTAARAAAWTTTCAGCACYTAAGTCTAAAAATCKACTYTAAGAAGTTTGATAAATACGGGCCCTGATCTTATATATCAAAGGTTGTTTTTTTTTGGTGTGTGTAAGAGACAGTCCTAAATTCCAGAATAGGAAACACCAACATAAACKTTGTGCCATTTCAGGCAAAGCAGTCATCCATGTGCGCCAGGAGCTCTCTGTGGCGACTAGCTGGATATGGAGCCCGACAATTGGGACACTCCAAGAAACTCTCATCCAAGAGGCCGACGACTTTCGACGGGGATGTGGTGCCGTGAGGATCGTCAATAGTCAGGCGCTCAAAATCAAGCTTATTGTACGAACTGGGCTCTGAGAAGCGGGCACATGTCTGCCTCTAAAATTGAAAACGTGACATTGCATCCTTTTAGTGTGCAACATGGGTAAACAGTGCAAAGCTCAGATATTTTAATCGCTCAGGTGGATGAGCACTTCCAGGAATGAATCAGAAAAGCAGAACCCACTGAAGCAGAGCCAACCAATTTATGATTCAACAATAAATGGAATGAGTCTGCCTCAGTCATTGTGTTTTAGATCACTTTTATGCTTTTATTTTGGYGGAAAATAAATGCTCCTCTAAGTGCTTTTTGGCTTTTTACCAGAAGACAGAATAATTAAAGCATTTCTGTTCTAAGACGAGTTAAAATATCTAAAATGAACATCCATTTGAAAAAGCAATAATTAGGACAAACAGTTCATCGCTCAACTCTAACTTAAAACATGGAGGTTGATGTTTCATTTCAGTCCATCATTTGAAAAGGATTAATGTTTGACACTTACAGCAGACTCCAGTTTAGCAATCTGGTCTCGAGCTTTGCGAAGCTCCTTCAGAACCTTGTGCAGCTGCTGCTGCATGCTCCGACGATCGATCTTTTCATTCTCAAAGWCCTTGGCAGAAAGCTGGATCTGACGAGAAGCAGTAACGTCAGTGGAGGGCAAGAATGGGAACATTCAGARCTGCAMCTCTTCAATAAAACACTTTATCTGGGATCTTTGTAACGCTTTATTATTTTATTTTATATATATTTTATTTTTTATTTCTATACTTGAGCGGRTTTGTAAACAATTGCTACCTGTTGTTCCAGAGCTGCGATTCTCCTTTGTTCTTCATTTTGGCTCAGCAGAGACTTCTGCAGCATATTAACCTGTGAAGACAAATTATCAATGCAGAGACAGTTTATTGTGTAGTACATTTGGAGAATAAATTACCATGCATTCAGTCCTTTTCAGTTCTAATAAATGAGGGATTTAGACAAATCTATTTTTCRATTAATGCAGTTTTTCACTGCCTTTTCTGCATTACGAGCAAATAACTTTCACAAAGAAGTACTTGTGATAAAAGTCTAAACACAAAAAGAGAAATTGGTAGTCTCACCTGCATCAGAAGCTCGGCAGATCGTTTCCTCTCCTCCTCCAGTTTTTTTTCCCTACTGTCCAGCTCCGTTCTCATCCGCTCTGCCCACTCAGACACCTTTCTTTCTTCATTTGCCGCATGTCTGGATGTTTATGTAATTTATGTTAATGCCAACACAAGTGATACTTACCCATTTATTGCACGCAGACATGAATTAATGAGGACAAACTCCTAAAATAACTCGCATATTTTTCAAGTAAATGTCCTGTTTAATGTGTTGTTCAGCGTTTTATTCCCACATGCCTGCAGCACAGTTCAGTTTTATGGATAAACTATGACACCGTGCCCGATATGAGCTCGCTGATGTCACCTGCTGCCAACTCGTTGCGCCTGCAGCTGAAGCCTGGCCTCGTCCAGCTCTTTGCTCTTCTCGTCGTACTTCCCGAGGAAGGCGGACAGCTCGCCGCACTTGTCCTCGTACCTCCTCTGCAGCACAGACGTCTCCTCCTGGACGCTGCTGACCTGCTCCTTCAGACGCAGCAGCTCCGCCTGAGCTTTCAAGGCCTGCAGAAGCAGCGAGAAAAAAAAATCGCACAGTCAGTCGACTCAGTTCTTCAATCAAGCTCTGCAGATCAATTATAAAGATGTCTGAATCCAAGGCATGCAGCCATTCAGCTGCATACTGATTGGGGCATTTCAAACCAGGGAATGTCAATAATTTTGTTCAGAGGGACGAGGTTTGTCATTAATGTCTTTAGCACAAGCCACAGCATGCAAAACGCTTTAATAAAGTTGGGAAGAGAAACTCAGTTTACCTCTTCCTTCTCCACATTCAGCTCCTGTTGGGTTTTGGCAGTCACATCTTTCTGGCTCTCCAGATCTTTCTGCAGCCTCAAAACCAACTGATCATAGTGGCTTTTCAGCTCAGAGTCCTTCTCTGCACCTGGGGAATTGCTAGAAGCTGAGATCAAAAGAGATAGCGAAGAAATTCAATCAAAATACGACATCCTGTTCAAGAGAAAAASGTTTTCCCGTCTTCATCATCACCTTCCTAGAACATTTAAAGGAGACCAATTATGGGTCCTAGAAATTTTTTTGTTATGTCTGTGGGCTATCCAGACCATGTTCATTCAATTTAATGCACAAAATAATTCTCAGATAATAAAATTTCCCATTTTCTGGTTCTGCCTGCTCTGACTTCCTTTCAGAAGAGCTGTTTATGTTAATGAGCTCTGTTGGTAACGCCCTCCAAAAATCTGTTGACATTAACTCCGCCCTCCAAAGCCAGCATTTACATTAGCATGGCTCCGTTGTACAACCATATGAGACCCAGAGGCAGAGTCGGTCGCAGCTTCTTTTTTTTTTCTCCCCCTCCACTGCTCTGTGCTCACTGCATGCTGTTACCAGAGCAGGGAGCAGCAGCGGTCAAAATACCTCAGAAACGCAAACAAATAGGCTTTAACAAGGCTTTAATAAGCTAAACAATAGAGGTACATGAGAAAACATGTTCATAACTAATGAAAATAAATAAATAATTAAATTGTGTCTCGAACCCTAGTCACCCACTCTCTGACCCAACACTCTACCCATTGCTCTATTGGAGGCTTGTTGTGAAATGAGCTGCACATTGCACAACAACAACTGTGACGGCTTTTTATACTGAGGAGGTGGAGTCTCACCCGGGGGTTGCTAGGTAAGGGGCTGAACGCAGGTTCCGGTGGGTTGTCGTACGGCTTGTGACATCAAAAAATGACGSAAGTATAAAACTTGTCGTTAATATACATTAAAAATACATTCACTAACAGTAAATATGCCCCTGGGTGCATTTTTTTGGTCCTAGGACTGTTTTTTAAGAAGTATATACCTGAAGTTGAGTAAAAAAACCTTTAAAAAGTGAATTTTGCATAATAGGTCCCCTTTAAGCGACGGGTAAAACTGTAAAAAGCTTTACATTCRTATTAAAATGACTTTAACTTCATTTCATTTAGTTAATTAAAATGTTTACATATTATCTGTGTAAAAGAATGAAGGTATGTCAGATATTTTACCCTCCGCAGTGGTTTCAGAGCTGGTTTGCTGCTGCTTTGCTTGGGCCAGCTGCTGCTCCAGCTCCAGTGTGCGAGCGATGACAGACTGAACGTAGACCTCCCGCTGCTGATCGTAGACCAGCCACTGCTGGTTCTTCTCAAGAGCCTGATGAGGAGAACCACAGATCCCACAATGAGTCCCTGTTTTTCTTTTTATAAACTGATCACCTTTACCTCAATGCTGCACTACTTATTTTAGAAAAAAAATGTTTTGGTGCCTTAAAATTTTTTTTAAATGGGATCAAAGTGCACACAATTTGTTTTTCTGCATTAATGGTGRATGTGTTCTTAAATAAAAAAAATGTGTGAGCAAAATTTGGGAATGACTGGCCATCATGAAGCAACGGCCAAAGTGACAGAAAATAAGYCAGCAATGAGACGTCGATGGAAACGCTGTTTGGGATTGAGAACTTCAACAATTATCCTCAGATTTGTTCAGTAAAAATATGCAGATTGCTTTTAAAARCAATCTAAACTGCAGTAAACTTGTTTTTTTTTTCTGGAAAGTACAACTGATGAGACAAAACCAAAATACAGCCAGCCTAATGTAGGCAGAGGACTCCAGCTTCCACATGGTTTTCTTTAGATTCAACTTTGTTTGCATTGAGTGCACACCTGCAGTTCAGATGCCCTCGATTGGGCATAGAGTCTCGATTGGAACCGGGACTAATATTTCAATTCTCCCAGAATCGTTCGCACTTTTAAATTCCGATACCTAATTTCAATACCCAGTCTGTCAACTGGAAGAAGAAGCCGCCGAACACCAATTTGAGTTGGTGTTCAGACTCAAATTGTCAAGTTAAGTGAAATAATCTGCCACTGCAGTAAAATAATTGCGCTTGGTAAGACTGGAAATGAGGAAAACATTTCCAGGCTAACAAGATTAGCAAACACTTTCTGCTATTGCTTTGTATATTGTCTCAAAACAAGATCAAAAATGCTCTTTCTGTTCTATAAAAACAATCCCAAAAGCATTTCTAATAAGGTTTAAATATATATCAAGTCATCAATGTGAAAGTCATGATGCTGCACTTGTAAAAGTAAAACTATTGGGCCTGATCTTGACACTCAGACATTAATTCTAAGTTTCATACTGCCGGACAGGACACAGAAAAAAAAAAAAAAAACTTATTTGGCTGGATATAAGTGTATGACGTAGTTAGATGGACAAGTTTGGCAGAATACCCCTGTGTGAAAAGTAAATTCATAACATCCGTTTGTCTAAAAAGAACCTCATTTAAACCATGTAAACTTTTTTTTGACTCTGCCTCTAAAAAAAGTCGAAATCGGGAATCATTGGGAACCGGAATTGTTCAAATTCAAACGATGACCAACCTTAAGATTTTCGGATCAATACATGTGGAAAACTTCTGGAGTAAACTCCTTTAAACTGCACTATTTATTATAGTTCAGAAACAGTTTGTTTKATTTTAAAATCTGCAATGAGTATATTGAACAGTTCAATTAAAAAAAGGTAATAAGAAATTCCTTTCTTGAAATATTGACCTCAACGCTCTTTCATATTTTTCTTTTCGAAACACAATAAGCTAAAACTACGGCACAAAAATGATACAATCCTCAGTAAGATAAATGTTTGCCAAGTTGCATAATAAAAAAAATAAAAAAATAAAATAAATAAATAAATAAATAAATAGCCAGCGACTGGACTCACATCTCTGAGTTGATCTTGCACAAGTGTTGAGTCTCCAGCAGGAACCGGTCCATTCTAGAGAAGAGAAGAGTTCCTTTAAAAAGGTCAGTGATCCAGCAGTCATTTAAATGGTGCACTTCCTGATTTGAAAATGAAGAGACTTGATTTAATTTGAACTGGACTCAAGTTTCTGTAAGCAAGTTTTATTAGAGAGAGAGAGAGAGAGAGAGAAAAAAAAGTATGTGTTATGCATGAGAAAGCAGCATGACGCTGCTTGTAGCATCTGCGCCTTCTCGTTATGCACACAGCAGGTAATTCTCACACACCAGGGTTGAGAGCATGTTTTAAAAATAACTTGAAAATATTTCGAGATGACTAAGTTGTGCAAACAGCAAATGACAGACCCTGTCATTTTAAGAGGTATTTTACATCTATGTTGTTTCTTCAATTTGTTCAGTTTACAGAGGAAAATCTCAGACACAAAACTAGAACTCAGCCAGAGGCTCCAAATTACACACAGGCTTGCTGCTTTAAATTATTCAGCCCAATTTTAAATAATGCAAGAAAACCACACAGCAGCAAGCAGAGAATCTGTGCTCCGCTGCTTTTCAAAGGCTTGGATGTGTGACCTCGGTCACCAACCCTGAGTCGGTTCCACAACACCCATCCCCAGAGGACAGCCGCTCAGCCCACAGTTCTGTCGCCCCGACCCAGRGGTCTGCATCCCAGATCTCTGCAAACACTGAGACTCCTGGCAGAGCCTTCACAGAGCTGTCACCGGAAGCATCTGAACAAYCATCAATGAGATAAGCCTGTTTGAGCTCTTCTGACGCCAGATAAACATCATGAACTTGTCAACTTTTCAAAAAGGAATTCAAACGTGCATCTTGAACAACTTCTGAGCACACGGAGAGGAGGAGGGAAAACGCTGCGGAGCTGCTGGTGGTTTATTTAAGACTAAGCAAGCAAACTCAAGGGATCCAACYGTGAACGGTCCTGGAGAACAGCGTTAACGTCAGTGATAACTGGCAATTTTACACAATATCTATTTTAAAGTAGTAGATTTTTCTTGACTCAAATTTTTAGGCACATTTTAGGTCATTTTATGTACAAATATGTAACAGGCAGAGGTTTCGTTTTACATTTCATTCACTGAAAACAAGAAGTTTGTTTAAGAGAATGATAAAGTAAGTTTGTTAAAGAAATATGAAATTGTATAATGTATATCAAAAGTTGTTTGAAAAGAAATTAAAGTTTTTATTTTGTTTCTTGATTATTATTGTTTGAAATTAATTTTGGAAAAAAGGGGTCGATATTATAAGATTTTTTTCTTTTTTCTGCCTCCTTTCATTTCAAGTGTGATTTTTTTCTCTCTTTGTTGTGTATAAATTTTTTTTATTTGAAATTAATAAATGAATTAATTAAAAAAAATTAAAAATAAAAAGTTTGTAATATTTTAGTGTTTGAAGTATATGCTGGTGAAGATCATAAGATGATCTACACATAAATCAAATTAACTTTTTTTTAACTGAAATTAAAACAGATTGATGAAATTAATTAGTTTTATTAATAAAAACATAAAGGTTGATAAAGCTTATAGACTAAGAAGAGATTTATATTATTATTATTTTAACCTTTTAGCAAATATGGAAATACAGATGTTTTACCGCTCTTTCTGGAAAATACTAAAAACAAAGTTCATTTTTACTTTTCAGCACAGTGCAGGAATCAAAATGAGGAAATCTACTTGCAGCATGCCACATGTTGCCACACTGTAGCATAAAAGCACCAGATTTACTTGTGAACAGCAGCTCACCTGGAGACTCAACCTGTCTCACACGTACAACACTGCACACACTTATCTCTCTGTTGCAGCCTGGTATATTTAAAAACGCWCACAATTCACCAAACTCTGAAAGACAAATTAGAAATCACTAACAGAACCAGTAATATAAAAAAGTGACACACATAGCTTTATCTATTTATATTTATTAGGGCTGTATATTGGCAAGAATTTGGCGATACGATACATATCATAACAGAGGGGTCACGATACGATATATCCCGATATATTGGGATACTGTAAGCAAGGCGATATATTGCGATTTTTTTTGTCCAAAAAATTCTATTAAATAAAAACCTCTTACTGAAAAAAAGAAAGAAAAGCTAATGTTTACTTACAATTCTAATGCTACCCTTACTCTCTGGCGCTCAAGAGGTAGAGGAGCCAAATGGCTGGCTCACTGCTGCCAACTAGTGGTCAGAGGCTGAACTACAACATAAAAATGAACGGTTGGCAAGAAGGTTGACATTTTAAACGTTAATTAAAAATCRATACAGGGCTTTAGAATATCGATACAGTATCAGGAAATGAAATATCGCGATATTTCAGTGTATCGATATTTTCTTACACCCCTAATATTTATCTTTTGTGTACTAATGCTTTCAATCCTCAAGTCTAAAAATATACATGAAACAATCTAAGAAAATCAAAAACACCTCAAGCATTCAGCTGACCTCTGAGTAAATAAACAAACAAAAAGATGGGAATTCATCAATTTAGCTTTATACTACATGCTGATAGCATTAATTATCCGCATACGGAGCAGAAAAAAAAAGAAATCTTGATTAAATAAACTACATAACTCAGAGAAAACTAATTTATAAACCAGGCGGGTTAGAGTGACTCTAATGTGACAGAAAAGTTAAACCCTTTAAAACCAAAGTTTAATTGGAAGTTTTTCCTTTGCTGCTTTAAAACAATCCGAGTACTGGAAACTCAAAAAAGGACAAAGGCAAGAATAAGATTAATAAAGCTCACATTTATTTGTGTGATTTTGCCAGTGCTTCTTCAGATTCAATTAAAATTCTGGTGACGGTTTTGCAGTGACTGCAGCAGAATAGAGTCTATAGCTAAGAAGACGAGTCAACTCTTGAATCACTWTTACTTCATCTGTAAGCTGTGTGGTATTCACACACGATGGCAGGTAAAAAAGAAGAAGAGTGCAGACTGGTAGCAATATTCACCATTACAATCCRTATCATGACTGACCATTTATCTTTCATCAAAACAAATTTATGAAGGTGATCCTTTAGAAAACCTAGATTAAACACTGCCCCCTGATGGACAAAGAAAGAACTGCACCCCCTAAATAAGCCTTTCATGTACAAGAACCATAGAGAACTTTATGATAGATGTGTTGACAATCCACATTAGAAGCAGCACTTTCCACTGGTCTAATTATGATTAAAGTCATATCACAGCAGTTATGATTAAAGGTGCTTGTTGAGCAGGTCTGTTCTGTGAGCWGCAGAGGCCAAATATGACCCAAAGCAAAAATTTATTTTGTGAAAATATTAAAGAAAAAAAAAGAAAGAGATATTCATCTCCTGATTCAGCAGCTGTAATAGAGTGAACATTTTGAAGGAGAAAGTTAGAATGTAAGGCAGAGGACAGAAAGCTGTTGCAGGATTTAATCTTATGCCTGGGGGAAAATATGCTGTCAGAGAGAAGGGATGACTACTCCACCAATTCTGCTTCTCAGTAAAACACTTCAAGGTTGTTGTTAATCATCCTTTTTTTTTWAAAGGAAACAAAATATTAAAGATTTTATAACTCATGCCAGCACAAAGGTTTAGCCAAGCACATTTTAAGCCCAGAGACAAATCATGCGGCAAAAAAAGAGACATGTTTTCAAACTAATTAGATCATCTTGACAGGTGAATAAAGGTATTAAGGTCAACCCACCGCGGCCTGTGCTTCCAGGGACTGACAACGAGCAGAAACAGTGGCCAGCTTGTTTTTCAGATTCTCAGTCTCCTGTGACAAGCTCTGGAACATCACGTCTCTCTGCTCTGTCTCTCTCCTCCGCTGCTCCAGCTGGGCCTGCAGCGATGCAACCACCTGAAATACACAACAAAAATAACAATAATWWTWWAAAAARGRA